TCTGCTAGCCCCTCCCCTCCCAGCTTCCACTGGAGGTCCCTTTGTCCCTTGCTAACAGCACTGTTAGCGTGACCCCAGCTGCCCTAGAGGTGGTGGGCACATGCCACAGAGGAAGGCTGGCAGAGACGGCAAAGATGCATCTGCCTAGACACAGTGAGGGATCACGATACCCATGATGGCGGTTCTGCTCACAGGAAACCCTGTCAAAATCAACCTGCTTTTCAAAAGCAATGCCTAACCTATAAAAGTAAGAAAACCAAACACCCAGCAAAAAGTAACAGCCTCTTTGTAATGAAGATTTACGATTCAATCCTTCTAAATAATTCAAACCATATCATTTATAATTTAAGTTAAGTACAAGAATCCGGTAGCTTGGTAGGTTATAAATGTTCCGTCTCTGATTATCAACTTTGTAAAACTGTCTCAGGTTCTTTAACGTTAAAAGACATGTCTCATTTAACAGACAATGGCTGACTTAGAAACAATGTGCCACTGGCAGGGCCAGGCCTGAGCCAGAAACTTCTCTTCCCATGAAAGCCAGCAGACACACAGGGATACACTTACCTCTGCTTCATCTTGAAGGACACCAGACACCGGGAATTGCAGCCATTCAACAATGTTCAAATGTATATATCTGCTTGTATGTATGTATGTATGTATGTATGTATTTAGAGACAGGGTTTCTGTGTGTAGCTTTGGAGCCTGACCTGGCACTCACTCTGTAGACCAGACTGGCCTCGAACTCACAGAGATCTGCCTGGCTCTGCGTCCTGAGTGCTGGGGTTAAAGGTGTGCGCCACCTGCACACCTGGCATTGTCCGGTTGTTCTCGTGTGGCACTCACCAGAAGTGCTGAGGATACAGCACAGAAGTTTATTTTTGCCTTTTGCCAATAGGGGGAAAACAGCATCCTGCTGTTGGGCTGTGTATCCGAAAGACCCAGTGTTGCTTGCCGTCCACGGGCTGATCAATGACTCGTTCCCCAGAGCCGCTTTCATTCCCAGATTTTACTTCTGATAAACTGTCAGAGACAGATGCTTGGGTTTTCCTTACAAGTGTCATAAGCCAGAAGGTGGTTTGGGTTTTGTGTTTTGAGACAAGGTTTCATACAGCCCAGGTTAGCCTCCAGCTTTTAATGTCATCAAGGATAACCTTGAACTCATGGTCCTTCTAAATGGACTAAAAGGTCCTGCCACCCCTCCTTCTCCTCCCCAGTGATGGGTTACAGGCCTGGCTTCCTTGTCTAGTTTATACGGTTCTTAAATGGAACCCAGGCTTTGTGCATGCCATGCAAACAGGCTGCCAACTGAGTGACAGCCCCAATTCCCCAGAAGTTTTTAAAATTATTTGTTTGTGTCTTGACTGAATTTGCAAAAATTACGTATGAAAAGAGTTAAATAATTATAAGTGTAACTTAGTTATTTCATTACATGTTTTATATTGGAGTAATAAGCTAATTAGGTAGTCTAATTCACCAAACTAACTTGAACTTTTGAATTAAATCTAAACAGATTTCCTAAAGCTAATAACAAAAAAGAAAGAAAAGAGGCATATTTTGGGGTTTATTTAACTCATTTTAATTTTTTAAAATATTTTTATGGTTTATTTAACTTTATTTTATGTGCATTGGTGTGAAGGTGTCAGATCCCCTGCAACTGGATCTTCAGACAGTTGTGAGCTGCCATGTGGGTGCTGGAAACTCTGGAAGAGCAGTCAGTGCTCTTAACCACTGAGCCATCTCTCCGTCCCCATTTCTAATCTTTTAAAAATATGCAGTGTGTGTATCTGTGTGTGTGTGTGTGTGTGTGTGTGTGTGAGAGAGAGAGAGAGAGAGAGAGAGAGAGACTGAGTGTATTCTGTGCATGCATGCAGGAGTCTACTGAAATCAGAAGAGGTTTCATATCCCCTGCAACTGGAGTTACAATCAGTTGTAGCCACCACATGGGTGCTAGGAACTGAACTCAGATCCTCTGGAAGGGCGGCAAATGCTCTTAACCACTAAGCCACCTTTCCAGCCCTTTTTTTTATTTTTTTAAAAAAGTTATAATTACATTTATTTATGTGGGTGTGCACATGCATGTATATGGGCAAAGCATGCATGCCACAGCTCACATATGTAAGTCAGAGAATGGATTTGTGGGAGTTGGTTCTTTCCAATTTGTGGGTTCGAGAGAATGAAGAGAATGTCACGTTTGGAAGCAGGCTATCTTGCTGGCCACCATTTCTAATCTTAATCCTAAAACTCATGATTAAAAATATTTAACTACTAAGGTAAAAGTTTACTGACAGATCAATATGGGGTTAGAGCCGTATTGATAAAACGTGGCAGAGAATGTTCAGGCTTAGAGCCAAGGCTACAAGCACCCAGGCTCGAGGGCTGCCCTTGTTTATAAACTTTGCGTCAGCAGGGGGCGCCAATGCCCCGTGGATGGGACCTGCAGCGGAGGTCCTGAGATGAAGTTTGGCCTGGCCGCTCTTTCCTGAGCTTCCTTAAGATGGCACCCAGATCACCCAAAGATCTGAAGAGACAAATCTAGCAGGGCTCCTGCTTGGGTTCCTTCTAAGTTCTTTGACGCTGGAGGGTCGTTAGCGCCACATCTGGATTCCGCACCCCTCTCACAGCCCTGCCTTGCTTTCTGCTCAGAGTCTAGCTTCTACAGTGACAGACTGGCCAGGACAGCTAGGCTCCATGTGGCGCTGAGCCAGAAGGCTGAACTTGCCTTCTCTTGCCACTGTATCGTTCAATGATAGCAGCGGGGACAGGAGAGACAGGCTACTTACAACATAACTGTGCAATCTGCTGAGACAGCCATCCCCAGGCAACCTGAGATCCTAAACACAGCAGTGAGCTGCTAGATAAGTGGGCACCGTGGAGTAAAAATAAGAGGGATGTGTGGTGTTTGACTTCTATTTAAATAGAGAGACTCATACAACTGCCTAATGCCAACCGTGGTTCAACACGCTCTGTGTCCCTGCCTGCCAATTATTACATATTCCTGCGTTAATGTCAGTACAAACAACGAATAGATGAGAAGCCAGAGGCCCATAGGGCTAAATTGTAATGAGCCGAGAAAATATCCTGAGGTAGGGAAGGGCTAGCAAAATATCAGTAGGGAGAGTACTTGCCTAGTTCCGTTCTCAAACTGCATGAAAACAAACAAACAAACAAAAAAGCAGCACCCCTATGATCCTAACATTCTAGTGGTAGAGGCAGGAGGCAGAAGTTCAAAGTCATCCTCAGGGATGTGGCTCAGTGGTACACCGAGCACTCACTTTATAGGACCAAAAGCCCTGAGTTCCAGCCCCAGTAGCACCAAGAAGAAAAGGGGAAACAAAATAAGAGAAACCTGACTAGGGGGCCTGCAGAGCTGACTAAACAGTTAAAACATCTGCTGCTCTTCGGGTGGAGCCAGGTTAGATTCCCAACACCTGCGAGGTGGCGTGCACCCATCCGCAACTCCAGTTCCAGGAAATCTGACGCCCTCTTCTGGCCTCCTTGGGTATGACACACGTGTGATAGACATGTACACCCCATAGGCATGCACACGCAGACAATATATGTATATGTATATATATAAACCTGTCAGGGTCTATTAAAATGCTAACTTGGGTCTAACCTTACAGATTTTGTTGTTATGAAGTATAAATGAATAATACCCGAGAAGTGTCTTGTACTGAAGACTGCTGTGAGCCAGGCCCTTGGAGAGAAAGCACACAGGCCCCAGAAGCAGAAAGATCTAGGATCTAGTTCCTGCCGGTACCTCACCTCCTCCTCACTTGCTGTCTCCAGACCTCAGCTTCTGAGCTGAACAAGCAGGGTGTTGTAGCCCTTGCTGTCTGTCCCACACCCGTGTGTTTCAGAGGGCTTCTGTCTTGCCAGCATGAGCCGTAGAAAGAAGTGATTTGGCAGGTGGAATGTGCCTGAGTGTGCAAGGGTTTGTGATACTAGCTGAGCAATGCCAGTCTTGAGCGGCGTCTTTCAGCCTGGCCTACAAGGAAGGTGTTTGCGGTGTAGATCGGAAGGTTCCAGAATGGCCAGGTCTGAGTTGGCGATGTTTGCCCTCAGGTGGCGGCGTTCACGCATGCGCTCTGCAATGAGCGTGGACCGAGGGATCGGGTGGGAGACTGCAGTCAGTCACATAGAGCAAGGATCTCAGTAAGGCTCTAGGGAGGGGTTTGGACATTTGGATTTGGGGAATAAACCCGGGAGCCTTGGAACCAAGGAATGCAAAAGTCTGGGAAGGGAATGCAAGTGCGGATAGAGAAAGGGCACCAGGGGCCTGGATAGGGGAGCCCCGAATTGTCTGCTGAGGGCTGGTGTGGGGAGTGGTGCAGGCAATGTGGGGTACGCTGCATGCAGAGAACTGAGCAGGTATTTAAATGATTCATTTTTATTATTACCACGTGTGGACTGTTCTAAACGTGAATGATTAAATACACTTTCTCTTGTGTGTGTGGGAGGGGGTAAGAAGGATACTCTTAACCACCCTTTCCTGATATGCCATAAACCCTTGTCCTTGCCAGTAACCACCCCTTAATAGGGTCAGGGGAGAAAAGGAACCTTGGGAAAGACTAGGAAAATGACAAAGCCGTTGGGTCTCCATAAGCATTGAGTCGATAGTTAAGAGGAGGCTCCAAGGATGGACCCAGAAGTATAGGAAGAAGTAGGACTGGATGGAGTATGGGTTGGGGGGGCTTGCTGTGGTACCCACTGGGCAGTTCAAATCTAGGGGCATTACTACTGCTGTCTCCCAGGCACCGTGCCCTCTGCTGCATGCAGGTTATAATCAATTGGCAAACACATTGAACAACTGACTCCCTGGGCTGCCCTGCTCCCACCCTGCACCCCCTCTGGATGCAGAAGTCCAACTTCCTCTTGATTCTCCGCTAAGAGCTACCCTACCCAGGCCCTACAAGGCCGAGTCTCGTCAGGCAATCTGTGTTCTGCCCTCTCCCTGGCCAATACTTGACCCTCAGTGACCGCCTCTCTCTCCTTCGCAGGAGCCGGGTCCAACCCGCCAGTGATGCACCTAAGAATCAAGGGCCTGTGGCCAAAGAACCACGCAAGGATCAAGGGCCTGTGGTCCCAGGGCTTTCGAAAGGCCAAGGTCCTGTGGTCCAAGAGCCGCTGAAGGACCAAGGCCCCATGGTGCCAGAACTGTCAAAGGATCAAGGTCCCGTGGTCCCAGGGTCCTTAAAGGATCAAGGCCCTACACCCCTGGGTCCTCCAAAGGATCAAGGTGCTGTACTCCCAGGGCCCGTGAAGGATCTAGGTCCAGTGGCCCCAGCGCCAGTCAAGGATCAAGACCGCGTGGCATCCGAGCCTTTGAAGAACAAGGATTCTGTCACCTTAGCACCAGCCGAAGCCCAAAGCCCTTTGAATCAGAGTCCCGTGGTTCCAGTCAGAGCTAAGGATCAAAGCTCCCCAACACCAGCACTTCTGAAGGACACCGGTCCTATGGCCCCCGAACCTGGGAAAGAGGGAACTCCCATGGCCCCCGAGCGTAGGAAGGACCAGAACGCCACAGTCACGGCGCCTCTGAAGAATGAAGCCCCTGTGGTCTCTGAGTCCGTGAAGAAGCAAGGTTTAGCAGACCCAGAGCCAGTCAAAGGTATAGGTACAGATACCGTGGTTCCCAGACAGATGAAGGGCTATGATTCCGTGTTCATAGCACCTGTAAAGAGCCAAGGTCCAGTGGCCCCTGAGCCGGTGAAGAGCCAAGACCCCATTATCCCAACACTAGCCAAGGATCAAGGTCCCATAGTCCCAGAACCTCCAAAGAATCAAAGCCCTGTGGTCCTTGGGTCTGTAAAGGATCAAGACCCACTTTTCCCAGTACCTCTGAAGGGTCAGGATCCCCTGGTGCCAGCCCCAACAAAGGACCAAGGTCCTGCAGCCCCTGACCCTCTGAAGATTGAAGGTCCCAGAGGCCCTCAGCTGTCCACAGTCTCACCTTCACCCCCAGTCATGATCCCAACCGTTCCCCATGCAGAATATTTTGAGGGATCCCCTTGATTCCCCTGAAATGCCGTGAAGGAGCAGGCCACGGAAGAGCTCCCCTCCTGGGGAGGCAAAGGCACACATTTATTCTGCATGGAACCGTGCTGTGCAGTCTTGCTGGAACCTAATAAAACCGTGCTGTGCAGTCTTGCTGGAACCTAATAAAACCGTGCTGTGCAGTCTTGCTGGAACCTAATAAAACCATGCTGTGCAGTCTTGCTGGAACCTAATAAATAAAACCGGTCCCCCTGGCTCTGCGGTGCTGGAGCGTGGAGCGTGTATGCTTGTGTGTGTGCATGCCATGTGCACTGGAGAGCAGGTCAGTCTGTGAAGTCAGAAACACACAGTTCTTAGGACCTGTCAGCATGGCCCAGGGGTATGTGGGTGCCGGGTGGTTTTCCCTGGACAGATGACTATGGGCAGATATCATTTGCCCCTAATGGGTCCCACATATCTAGTTTAGCAACCAGTGAGTTTACTGGGCTCACCAGCAGAACTGTGGGTAAGAGATTTCCTGCAGGAGAAGCATGTCTGGCTAGTGGCCTCACTGATCAGCTCAAGACTCATGAAGACTGTACCCCTGGAGATCTCTGCACGACTTGCTGGATAACCTTCTAGCTCCTCAGATCCTTACTCATATAGCTTTGAGGTAGGGCCTTGGGAAGCTTCTATGTTTCAGGAGTCTCCTGACTTCTAAATTTCATTCACTTTCTGCACATTACAGCCTCCCTCCAGGAGGAGACGTTTCGATTCCCAGGAAATAGCCACACATGGGTAAACAATGCTGGCTGACTGAGGGTGGGGCCAATCACACAAGTGCATTGCAAGGACCTGAGTCTTGAAAGCTCACCAGAGGCCAATCCCAGCCGGCTGAGCTCTGGATGGTCAGAGCTGAAGTCCACAGGTGGTCAGCTGAGCTGGGGAAGTTATGGGTGACGATTGTTGGTCATGGGGTCAGTGGTAAAGCTCACTGATCCAGGCTCCAAGCTTCTTGATCATGAATATCGGGACTCTTTAATGAGGCTCAAAGCCAACAACTGCTGTTGCTCATTCTGTATCCATGACAACTGAATACAAGGTTTATAAACATTGCATTAGCTGGGGACAGTGGAACAGGCCCGTGGTCCCAGCTACTCAAGAGGTTGAAGTAGGAGGATCATTTGAACCCGGTGGCTAAAGTTCAGCCACCCATGTAGGTTACATAGTGGGGGGCCTTGTTGGGAAAACTGGACTGGCCTTGAACTCAGGATCCTTCTGCCCCTGCCTTCCAAGTACTTGAATTACAGACATGTGTGAGCTACTGTGTCCATAAAATAGATGTTTTGGGTTTTGCTTGTTTGTTTTGTTTTGTATTTTTTTGTTTATTGTTTCTTTTTGAAACAGGGTTTCTTTATGTAGCCCTGGTTGCCCTAGAACTCATTTTGTAGCCCAGGCTGACCTCATATGCGAGATCCACCTGCCTCTGTCTCCTAAGTGCTGAGACTAAAGGTGTGCATCACCACCGCCCTGTTTTTACTTTTAAATAAATTTAAATAATACAAGTTCCCCGCCCATTCTCAGGTGCAGCAGTCTCTCCCCAAAGCGTGTGCTCTGTGGAGAAGCGGGGGTCTCTGCTGTAAGGAATCTCAATTGATTTTAGTTGACGCTGTACGGGTCTAGGGGCTTACTTTTTGTTTGTTTGCCTGTTTTGAGACAGGGTCCCCATAGCTTTGGGGAATCCTTCTGCCTCAGCCTCCCAAGTGCTGGGATCCCTGTGTCTTTTGCCATGCCTAGCAAAACGATTCTGGTCGTGTGATAACAAGATGTAAGGTGGGTTGAGACTCAAGCTAACTCCTAGCCTCAGAAGTACAATGCGGAAAGACACAGGCTCATATCTGGTGGGGATGAACCCTCAAGTGAGGTTCCCTCTTTCCAGGTGACTCTCGGTTTTTTTCATGGTGACAATAAAAGCCAACCATCTTATATAGCAAGTGCCGTACCGACTATGGTGGCTGACCACTCTTCCCTGCTTTGATGCATCTGCAAGACCTGCTAGGACCGGGGTATAACTGATGTAGAGGGCAGGATGCTGTCCTGAGTGAATGGAGAGGGACCCCAGCTCCCTATTGATAAATCAGAGCAGAAAGCCAGAGATTTAAGACAAGATGAGAAAGGTGTACAGTCATCCCCGTCAGGAGGAAGAAAACCTCACCAGGAACACCTTCTAGAGAGAGAGAGGGAAGTGATCACACCAAGTGACAACGTACGTTCTCGCGAAAACACCATCTCTAGAACAGCCTGACTAAAGCCACCGTCAGAACAGGCGGACAGCAGAACCCAGAACCATGTCATCCACATGGAAAATCACAGGAGTGAAGCCAATGTGACAGAAACCACCCCAAGGGCTGGTGAGTTGGCTCTCACCAGGTTAAAGGCTTGCTAAACCTGATGACCTGAGCTGATCTCTGGAACTCACATAAAGGCAGGAAGCCAAAAGTTGTCCTCCGACTTCTGCACACGTGCACACACGTGCACAAACACAAACACCCATCACACACACACACACACACACACACACACACACAAAACAACAACAACCCCCTGCATCTTTCAAGTCTTTGTGATTTTCCCAAAATCAGTTTTCCTTCTGACTTATGCTGGTGAGAAGACTTGGGGTGGGTTAATATTTATCATCTTTCAGATAATCCTTTCCCCTCTAACACCTATTCTACACGGGCATTCCTGTGGGAATCAAACCTGGAAACTCCAACTGTAAACCCTGAAATGAAGGAAAGGATTGCAGGAAGAGCCCAGAGCTCCACTGGCCTCACCAGGCCTGGACTTGAGTCCTAACCACCCGCGTGCGCAGTGGTACTCTAGGACCTTGAGAATTGACACTATAGGGTTTGACCTCTAATCCCTGCAGAGGCTGTAGACTATCCCTTCAGAGTGCAAGCAAGTGACTCGGGACCCTGTGTGGTCCAAAAGAAGGAGCTTTCATGTGCATCTTCAAGCAACTGAAGGGTTTAGAGGGACGCTGGCCCCTTCAAGGATGATTTTAGCGGCTCTAGGTAAAAGGTCTATATTTTTTTCAGAGACTCTCAAGTCAGGCTTCTGCTTGACGGGGACTTGGCCTGCCCCGTCATATAGGTACGGTAGAGCCTTCGGGTGCATCTTAGCAAAGGCTGGTCATCATTGGCCACCTCCCTGACCAGCTGCTCATGGAATCATATTTCTAAGACACCTGTGGGTCAGATCGTGCCGATGGCCTTCGAGGGCTGTGGTCCAGAGCTGCTGTGTGTCCTCCTGAGATTCCAACATTTTCATTAGCTATTTTCACGGAGGCATCTTCCTCCTGTCTCACCAGCCTGCACAGAACACAGCATCCTATCTCAAAGATGTCTTTCCCTGATATATTTCTGGGTGCCTGAGTAAAGGACTTTTCAGGGTCTGTAAGATGATGTTAAGAACATGGAACTTGGGTCTGGAGAGGTGGCTCAGAGGTTAAGAGCACTGACTGTTCTTTCAGGCGACCTGAGTTCGATTCCCAGTGAGATCTGGTGCCCTCTTCTGGCCTGCAGGCATACATGTATAGTATGTATGCATATACATGTATATTATGTATACAGAACACTGTATACATAATAAATAAAACTTTTTTAAAAATATGGACTTTAACCAAGGAATAAAGTACAGAAGCATCTCAGTCATGCATACCCTCAACATCCCCTCAGTGCAAATATCTGAGCAAGCGAGGTCAGCCCAGAACCGCCCATGGAGAAGGGAAGAAGCTAAGAGTTGAGGGATGAGGAATGCTGTGTAGGCCATCTTCAGGACAGGGTGTGGCTGATGTACTCAGGAACAGCTACCTACACAAGACCGGAGTGATCGGCATTTCAGCATGATGGGGGGTGAGGGAGAGAAGGAGGTGTAGACAGCTCATGGTTGCTGGGGGAGAGGGAGTCCTATTCTTCAGTGGTGTTGCTAGGCACCACAGAACCACTGGACCACCTCTCTAGGCAGTGTGCTGAGCACTGTGCTAGATGAACAGTAGTGTCCCAGTGCTTCAAAAACAGAAAAATGTGGCAGAGAAGCGGGCGTAGGCACAGGACTGGCTGTGTTGCATGGCCTCTCAAGAGCAGCTGACACCCAATACAAAGGCTTCATTGGAACGTAGTGAGCCCTGAGCGCACAAGATGGTCACTAACCCCAAGTGTCCATTTCCAGATGAAGTCCCTTGAGAGTGGACATCTAATGGATTGAGTTCAAAGGACAGGTCAGGTCTGGGATTTCTAAACAGTTTTGTTTAAACTCGATGGGGTGGCACCGAGAAAGGGGCATCCCTCTACAGCTCCATTTCCACCTGGTTGACTTGTCTGGCCAAGGTAAGGGACCATCTGTGGTACAAACCCCTCCAGGAGGGAACACAAAGAAGGGAGTGAGCTGCGCAAGGTCATAGCCGGCAGAGCTGGAGCTCAAGGCCAGCTTCCTCTGCCTCTCTGACTGGAGTCCTGTTCGGCACTCCCATCTCCATCCTGAGGCATCCTAAGGATCACAGGAGGCAGACGTGAGGACAGGGGGCCGTGGGTTCCTCCTCTGTCACAAACCCATTATGTGAGGTATCTCTGGAAGCAGGATTTTCACTAGCCTCCCCTGTGCAGCTTAGACCAAGCAGTAAGCCTATTAATTGCTCATGTGCCCATTTGCCCTCTCTGGCCCCTAGGCTGAGACCAACTTGCAATGAGACCAGAGGGCTGACAAGCAAGACCCCTCCAAGTGTAGGACCAGGGTACCCGGGTTCACTTCTCTAGGGTTTCAGAAGAGAACATAGTCCCCAGTCAGCACATAGTGACCATAGGCCACTGTTCAGTCATCTGCCAGCGTTCCAGAGCTAGGTATGGCCTGTTAAAGCACAGACTTTATCTCTTGGGAAAAAAAAAAAAAGATAGGGGAACCTTCTTTTAACTACACCCACGCTCCCGTAACATTTTATTGGAAAAGTTTTATTCAAAAAAAAAAAATTGTAGAAATTAGGTTTTCATTTTGAAAGCAACAAAGGCTCATGTGCCCCCCTACCCTCCCCATCTCTGAAAAACTAAAAAGGGAGAAAAACATGAGTTCACCCCTGCAACGCCCAGTGTAGCAGCCCTAGAGCCAGGTTTGCCAGGGAGTCCCTCCTGGGCTCCATCTCCCACTCCCATCGCTGGGCAAGGATCATTTGAAGGGTGGCCAGTCCTGGGGCTGCAGCACCTAGTTCTGTGGTT